AAAACTTTAAAAAAGTTAAGGCAGTACACATATTTTAAACAACTGTACTTGTTTTGGTACGTATGTAACGATTTTGTTAATTCAATTTTCATCTGTATGAAGGCCTTTGTTAACATTTTTGTAACTTTTATGATTTCATCACTGTTTGCGTCACATCGAGTTATCTAAGCTAACACGAGTCTATAACTTGTTTGGTAAGCAACCCAGCACACAAATTGGTATTGATGAAGTAACATACAACAATTTTGTTCCAGGTAAACATGGTGCTAAAAACCCCTACCCATCTCTCCAAGCTCTCCAGTTGTTCTACATCGATGTGTGTAGGGAGTTCCGGATTGCGAATTAGTTATACCTATGTACAGTAATTAAAAATAATACACGACGCACTATGATATGCAAAGCACATTAATCCCAAACAATAAAAAAGACAATTAAAAACACAAGAGAATATTCAAAATCACCGATGTAATGTGTCTCAAAATATTGTTTCTTAATAATAAATACACATTTACAACAACTCAATACCTATTATGTATTTTTGTTTTTATAAATTAAACATATTTAAAAGACATTATAGCCCAATACAAGTTTTTATGCATGCTTTCCTTGAATAACCAAACCAAATCATCCAAATGGTAAATATATAATATCTCTCATTAAGATATTACTGCACAAATAATCAATATATGTATCGCATTTGATTGAGTTTAGTCATACACTGCTACATATAGTGACTGTTCCGTTCCAATGCTCTCCAGTCTTCATGATCTCCGTTACTGACTCTCTTCCATAGGCTCAGTGAAGCACATTAGCTCGACATCGAGGGCTTCGAGTATCGGTTTAATTGGCGTTACAACCGCCGAACCATTTGAAAAACAGCCGATACCAAGTCCCAAACACCGAAGGTCATCACCTCTTTTGACGAACACGCCTGACCCAGAATCACCTTGAGCAAAAAAACGCTCGTTTGCCGTACGGCTACTTATCTCAAGCTGTCCCCGCATTTCAAAACGCCTTTCTGTCAATCCAGTAGGTCCGGATATTACCATTGGAAGGGGTTCTCTCACGTGGACACGTGTTACATGCACTCCTTTTGTTGCGTGTGTTCTAGCTCCGAACTTTACTATCTCTTCATTCATTATCGCGGTTGGCTCTGCCTGTTTAGCAGAATCAAATACAGGAAATGTCCTGAAACCTGTAAAAGAAAGTGTGTTGTTAATATATATAACAGTGCAATATCGCTAGTAAAACATACTCTTGTTTATGTAATACAGTATTCCGTATTATCTGTACAGAAAACCAGACTGCGATATAACTGCTGTACTTGTATAGGAATTAATGTTCTACAGAGAAACGTGTTTCAAAATGTTTAAGTACATTTATCAAATCTATAATTCATTCAGTAGAACAATGCATCACTTATCTTCAAAATGATTCATCAGTATGGAAAATGGAAATATGTAATGAGCACAAACGATGTACAAACGTGTCGCTGCGATTTGTATTGTTTACCTGCGATGGGACGAACTTTTATAGTTTGAAACCTTTTGTTTTACTTTAAACAAATTTTACATATTAAAACATGAGTACCGATTTCTCCGAGCTGGTTTTGTCTGTCAATAGCGAACTCTCCCCCTGACGGCATTCTGTCCTTCTGGACGGCTACTACTGCGGCATCTACGGTCACACCATCCGCTGTTGTTACACCAAATGTGCCGCGATATGTCTTACCACAACTTGGATCATACGGGATGCTTGGTGGGGGCATGGAGAAGTTATCCAGAGCAGGCTGGTTGACTTGCAGTTGAGTTGGAGTGTTGATTTCATTATGGCTATAACTATCTTCTCCGTCCTCGAATCCATAAGCAACATGGGCGCATGTCAGAAATCCGTCGAGATCACCATCTTTTTTGCTGTGTATTTTCACAAAGGGACCAATTGTTCCACATCTTCTCTTCCCGTCATCTTCGACGCCACATTCGCAACCCATCTTAAGTTTGGAATGGTAATGTGAGCTTGGTATTGCTGAATAGGTACGAGGTGCGAGTTCAAAGTATCCTTCACGCACATCTGTCAAAACGGCAATAGATCCAACAAAAAGATTAGGAGGAAATTTGTTTTCCTTTATAGGCCTAAATCCTTTTGAGCTGCAGTATATAACTACAAGGGCATTTTCTGCCAGCTCCAGGTCTTTTCCTCCTTGTTTTGACTTCAAAGGCGAGACTCCCAAGGCATTGATGTTCGAATGTGATTTCATTAGACGCGTGCCATGCATCTGAATTGCTTTCTCAGCATATTCAATGCCCCTGATATTTTTTGTGGTCATTGTTCTCATTTCCTCACTATTTGCCACTCGAATTGCTTCATCGTTTACTTGTTTTGGGTTTCTGTATAATACGTTCATCCCCGCAAACTGTTCCACTCTCCCACGAACAACGTTTAATCCATATGCCAAGAATACCACTTCTCCTACACCGTTGAAAGTGGGCTCAATTCGATAGGAACCTTGTATTTTCACTTTGTCCAGGAAACGCTGTTTTAGCTCCAAAGCAACAGCTTGTTTACAACGGTCATTCAACTGATACTGTGTCAGGCACTGCCCAATCTCATTCGCATCTGTCACGGAAGGAAGCAGTAAACTCAAAATGTCAGCCTTGTTTAATTCACACGTTATCTGAAGGAGAGAGGACTTGTCTGTAGAAGCAACGAGAGATGGGTATGCGATACAGAGGTGTGCATACATGTCCCTACTTCCAGAACGACAGGCCTTGTGAAGCATGGATTCGTTATTCGCATCAACAATACTTCTAATATATTGTTGATGCTCCATTTTTTCTTTCCCTTTAAGCAACACCGATTCTACAGCGATATAGCATTGTATGTTTCCAGATTCAGTAATACGAAGAAGACACTGGCTACTGTNATATTCCCAGATATACATGCGTCAAAGAGGGCATTTAGATGTTCATTTGCTGACGAAACATGCTTAGATTCAACCTGTGCATGTTTATCTTTATATCCGTTTCGTCGTGCCTGTTAAAAATTAGTCATACAATTATTTGACAGAATAGCACCAGTAGTGATGGGACCACGATGCGCATACTAAATCATTGAGTAAACAAAAAGAGTGCGGGCGTGATCTAAAGACTTTTTTGTTATTGCTTTTATCAATTTCAATCATCTTTTTATAAGAAAAATAAATGTTTCAAAAAGTGAACGTTCATATGCTAGAATATGCCAATGCTTTCTGTCTGCATAATGTTTGAATAATAAGCTCATTCATTCGTAGAGCAGTTGCCTCATAAGTCGTGTATGTGACGTTATCAATAGTAGCGTCGTGGTTACAAAGAAAAAAATATATTTGTGTGCGCGAACCTCCTGTGTTCCTGTTAACCATTTAGTCCCGGATGAAGGGTTATGCCCGAAAGCTTGGACATAGAGTGACTGCTGTTTTTCACAAAATGACATACTGAAGGCTATTTATAAAAAAACGCACGAATGAAAGACCATATACTAGAAAACACATTATTTATTACCTCAGAGCTCTCTGCTAAATCTGCAAAAAAGAAAAGGAAAATATTGTTATCCAGACGATCAACGGAATAGATTTATTTTATAATGGACATCAAATTCTGATTATTGGTGAAGACATCTGTGGTAATAGTTGAAAACTCTACCCTGTAAGATATATTTAGCTATTTATTTTGAATAAAGAGACGAACACACAAGATGACCCGACCTAGGGCTAAACCAGTTTTCTTCCTCAAATGCGTAAACGATCCTAAGTTGTCCTTAACGTAAGGCGTTAAGACGTATAAGAACCCAAATATCTTTGTCAGTACATGTATAATAAGACCAATTAAAGTTATTGGCAGAACATGTATAATGATACCAAGTTTAGTGCAGTGTTAGATGCCATCGGCATAAACGCATAGATAACAGAAATAAAGGAACGTCAAACATGAGCTTGACCGTTAATAGGATGCTTCACCTAACACTAAATATACCAAAGATTTTTTGACTATCTTAGAAAAAGTATCAAATAGAAATTATTGTCTTTTTGTTGTTTATGTCTTTTGAATCAACTACATTTGTAATCAAAAGGACTTTGCCATAATAGAATTATAATTTATAAATTCTTTCATTAAAAATGATTGAATTAATGAAAAATGAAATACTGGATCTATGCAATAGCAATGCTACTACTATCGGTTTGTTAGATGAACATTTTTTTATCACATTGCCGGTAATAGAGCATTAAGCAAAAGCTTCTAAAACTATTTGATGTGATTGTTGTTGAAGACATTGAAATTCTATGCAATCGATATTTTTTTTAACAGATGTTTGTATTCAAGGAGGCTTAATATATGATATTACAATAGTATGCATGACTAAGTGTTTTTACCTACAAGGGCCTTTGACTATAACTATTCACTCCCTGTTCAGAAATCGAAATGTATACTTACATGTGGCAGCAGATACCAGCGATGAGTACATGATTCCGGCTAAAAATAAAAAAAATAAAAAAAGACCATTTGAAACCTCAGCTATTATACAGACACGTGTCTATTGGTACCTAGCAGGAAATGCGGCAAATAGTATTTCCAAATTCACTTAATCTTAAGTCGCAATACAATATATTTTTCAGCGTCAATTGAGCAATCGTTCGTGATATCTTAGCTGAAGGGAATTTAATACAAGACTTTGAAAGAAGAACTAATATTTTGATGCTCAAATAATGTGAATAATGTTAAGTTTAAGTCAGTAAATCGAAATTTCCCATGAATATTGAATAAATACGAAAGAAATTTATTGCTGCATATTCTGATTGTAGTATACATCATAATTTGTTATTGTTGATTGGTACATTTCTTAAGTATCTTAGAAAATAATTTGATGCAACAACACATTAGCTCTGATATATCCATGGTATTTATAATGTGTGAACAATATGCCATACAAAACAATCAGTTTGCTTCAATGCACTTTCGATGCTAATTAATAACGTGATAAGAATGATAAGAGTCATACAAGGATATAGGCGCCCACAATGAAAGAACATTTACTATTACAAAGTCCTACGTTGGAAATCTTTAACTGGATTATTGTACATTAAATTAAACCTCAGAATGGCAAATGTAATTTACCACAAGGACACAAATATCGTTTAAAAAATGCAATTCTGATACAATAAGAAATGTTGTCAATGACTGATGCATTCTCATTAGGGCCCTGTCTCCAGCACTAAACAAAAGAGAAAAGAAGACACCTGTTGATACCACCTGGACGTTTCGTAAGAGGCAACTGATAAGGGAACCCCCTGCAGAATTTAGGATTCGATTTTATGCCCGCTACTTGGAAACATTAAAAGCTGCCTAACAACTGTTACCCCCCCCCCCCCCGCAACAAGTTGGGGGGTGGGGTTGTGTTATACTTAATTCGGTCTGTCCGTAGTCAAAATTTAATTGTCCATGCATTCGCTTATTTTTCAATAGATTTCAAATTGTTTGTGTTGTGATAGTACAATATATAGTTAGGCCCCCTAAAATAAGTGTGCGTTTCGGATTTTTTCAAGTTATTAATGCCGTTTAATCGATAAAAGTTTGTCCTGGTATGCATTTGCTCATTTTTCAATACTTTGAAACTTTTTGTGTAGTGACAGTTCCATGTTTTTGTGCACTCGGTATGAATTTAGTGGGTTTTTTTTAACCTTTTTAAGAGTGTTATGCCCCTTAACGTAAACAAATAAGAAAACGTTGTCCGGCTATGCATTTGCTCATTTTTCTTTAGATGTCTCTGAACATTTTTTTGTGTAGTTTCAGTTCAATGAAGATGTGCCAACCCTTCCTTTTTTGGCCTAATCCTACTGACCTTTCGTATAAAAGATATGCTTTACAATTTTGCATGTTTCTGCTGATTTTCTGCCCGCTTCCGCATCGTTATATTACAATATCCTGATCGCAAATTTCTCGATGTTTCAAATAAGCCTAGAAACTGAAGCATTTGTGTTACTGTGATCACACTTTCTTCTCTTTCTTTAGCTAGAAAATTGCGGAAAAAATGTGCTTTCGACGAGAAAGATAAAATTGAGAGTTCAGGTAGCCAACTCCGAGAAATCAAAAGGCAATGAGATCAAAATTTAAAACCAGAATACAAAGTTTTGTTTAGTATTGTTTAACGTCCTATTAACAGTAATCGGCATTTAGGAACGGCCTCTGCTGTTTGGCATGCGCGAGTGTATGCGTGTGTGGTTTGGGAGGCTGCGATATGTTTGTGTTTTCCTCCTTGTGATAGCGCTGAACTGACGCCGACTTTATAGTGCCATCTCACTGAAGCATTCTCCAACCGGTCACATTATACTGACAAAGGGCGAAACAGTCGTCAAACTCCCCAAATTTGCTGAGCTTTAAGCAGGAGTACTATTTTTAAAGACTATGATATGTCTCGACCTAGGGACAGAACCCAAAGCCTTTTTCACAGAGGCGAACGCTCAAATATAGGCCAAAAGGGGCATTGTCAAGGGAGACATTAGGAAGAAGAAAATTGTTTAGAAAGAAGAGAAAAGATAAGATCCCGAATTGAGTCGCCTAGTAAGATCATGTAATGGGGGCAGCATGCACATTTCTTACGCCCTACCTGCATATCATGACATGTTCATTTTCATACCGGGACTTCTATTAGGTATTGATCGTTGGAGGCGACTTATGAGGGGCTTCCCTGCCGAATCTGGGTTTTTATCCCCTGACCTCAACGAAGGAGACATGTAAGCGACCAAAATAAGTCTGCTGTCCTCATTGTAACACTTTGGATCTTTCTTAGAAGTGTCTCCCTAGGCATCCGTCCTCATATGACCCTGGCTGTTGTGTCTCCCTAGTCATCTGACCTCATATGACCCTGGTTGTTGTGTCTCCCTAGGCATCTGACCTCATATGACCCTTGCTGTTGTGTCTCCCTAGGCATCCGTCCTCGTATGACCCTGGCTGTTGTGTCTCCCTAGGCATCCGTTCTCGTATGACCTTGGCTGTTGTGTCTCCCTAGGCATCTGACCTCATATGACCCTGGCCGTTGTGTCTCCCTAGGCATCTGTCCTCGTATGACCCTGGCTGTTGTGTCTCCCTAGGCATCCGTCCTCGTATGACCCTGGCTGGTGCGAGGACGTTAAACACCGAACAAACAAACACTCACAAATGCATCTGCACTTTTATATCTATATTACGTGTAACGTATGACAAAAAATATGCATTTGTTAATAAACAAAACAATATCTTTGCTGCATAGCAATTTCGTAGATAAATAATCTCTAAATGCAAATGACAAGATATGTTTGAAAATTACAGTTTACTGACGTCGAAGGATTATTAAATAAAAGTATGAGCAAATAAGCATTTTGTATGATAATCTACATATCGCAAAAGGAAATAGAATATTTCCAAATTAGAGACAAGAAAACATCTAACAAAACTATGTTGCATGCTTATTTGTTAGTATTCAACATCTTCCATCTAAATCGTGATACTCTAAGCAGATCCCTGAACATCATGATTATTAAATCGAAGAACATGAATTTCGACGATTAAGATTATGTTCATTGAAAGATAATGACATATCTCAAACGGCGTTTTGACCAATATATGTATTGTATATATAACATGTTTAACATTCCTGCATTTTTCTTTAAACATTAGTTAAGATTTAAATATCAAAATGAGTTGGAACCTCATAATTTTCACTCAGGTATGCTGTAAAAGTTGAAGAAATTATTTTAAACGACAAATCATGACTAATCTTCAGTTCAAATTGTGTCGCTGCTGAGTTGCAAATTTAAGATAAATATATTGTATTAAAGCTCAGTACTATATCTTACAGTTGATGCGTGTAGCTGTTTTGATGATCCCGAATTGTTGCAAAATGAGAAAAAGATATAAGTGACTTTCAACAATTAATTTCTAGATAACCTTGTTCCTCAGCATGATCAGTACAGATTGATGTTTTGTAATGGACTAAACTAATTATATTGGTCTCTTTTCTGCCTTTTTGTCCCAACCTTGGAGTTGATGGTCAAGATAAACTGTAAATAAGTAATTTCATTTAGCATTATTGCTGTCTTGTCCTTTACTCTAAATGCGAAGAAAGTACTGTGATTCAACTTAACTAGTACACCATAATAGATACGATACCTTACATACCATTAATGTTTGCAACATTGCCATTATGAAGTGAATTAAATTTAGCTTAAGTCATACGGAGCTTAGGCGTTTGTATACAAACATACCATCTTCGGTTTCTGATTACCTGACCTCTGCTTGTTGACAAAAAAGGCATCTTAAATAAATTTGCAGCATCCACTGCAACAGTTGGGTTATTTCTTTTTTTCTCTCTCTACAACAGTCCTTTTGTTTCCTAATGCGTTCCTCTTTAATTGACCTTGGGTGGTACACATTTACCAAGTAGTGTGCGAAAAGAGATTTGTACCAATGCTGGAAACCCATGCAGGTTAGGTATCGGGAAGATCTTGTATAACTGGGGATTTCCTTTTTTGTCCTCCATTTGGGGACCCACCAGCGACCAAAATATAACATGCTGCACCCATTGCAATATTTTGGATCTTTAAATTTCTGTCTACTTCTTACTACCTTTTACTTCCTAGCACCTTGGTTGGTAAAACCCCGTTGTCAGTATAATGTGACTATAGATGCTGAATACCGCTTATTTATATGTAATATTAATAATGATGGTATACCAGGCAAGGCCACTTACTGTTGATACCTGTAAGGTTGAGTGTTAGGTTTAACTGAAGTCATGGCCGTTATTTCGACTGAGAACCAAATAGTCCTGCACGAGTGTAGTTGTACAAAACGTGCATTCAAAATCCACCAGCACATTGCCCATAGGCAATAACATATGGTGCCTGAATGCTGAAATTGGTTACCAAATTGGTAACAGATAGGTCACCAGGATCAACGATTGTTCCAGTGATGTTTGCAACGTCGTACTTTGTCCTAATTTGGTTTCAGATATAAATTTGACAGTAGAAATCTGCTCTACGCAATTGCACTAAAGGAGCCAAAGAGAACACTACCAATGTATGCACTACCGGAGCATTAGTTGACCATCTACCAAAGAGAAAATAAACCCCTGCTTCTTCAAGAAATCATGACTGTTCCTCCTGTTGTGTGCGGGTCATAACACCGTCAGCATAGTGTCGTCATGGATACATTGCAACAATTGTCTTCTTCTTTTATTTATCCGCAAGAAAATCATATCTAAAATTATTGGATACTGTTCATCAGCAGGGTCTAAGATTCGCACTTTTCAAACCACATCAGCTATAAGTCTGTATGTAGAACCAAACGGACCATGTTATATAATCGCCGAGAGAAAATATCATTGCAGTATGCAGTTCAAATCAAATCAAATCCTGCCAAATCACTCGTATTCAATCCCAATTATGAAACTTTATTTCAAAATAAACCAAATCGTATTCCAACCTTTAATACTCGCACTCCAAACGTCTTAGAAGACGCCCAAATAAATAATAAAACCATACAACTATTTTTAACAATCGATGTTCCTCTATAATTTTTTAGTTTGCCTAAAGTTGATCTTTCACTTCTTGCTAAAGTAAAATCTGACAATGAATCTAACGCCTATCTTTCGTCTTTTTTAAAACCACAGCTGTTTAAAAATATCAATCGGTTTATACTGATGGTTCGAAAGATGATCATAAGGTTGCTGCAGCCATGGTTGTCAAAGATATAACTACCTTGTGATAATAATATGAAACAAAGTCTCCTTTCGCACGGATGAAGGGATATCAATGTAAGCATCCAGAAGATTTCCAAATATGCTGGTATGTGCCTTGTATAACCTATGTTAACCTATTGGAGCCTATAGAGACGGAACATGATGTGCTTAACCAACTTAAATAGGGTAAGGGTTAAGGTAATATTGGATCGTACGAGAATGAGGAATTTTAAGAAAATCAGAAACAGATTTAAAATGAAATAAAAACCATTGTTATCAAAACTTTCAGTTGAATTTATATAACTATTAATAATACTGAACGTTCAATTTTGATTATTAGCTGTGGATAACAATTGTGTCAATGAAAATTAAAATAGCAAAAAGTTAAAACTCTGACTCTGACTGTAACATATACTTAGAAAATAGCAAAACTTCTGCGGATATCTCATTGACATAACCCGTTTTCAATATGATGCGACCAGGTGGAATACTGTGCTATGAAGGCCTAATAATAAACATACCCTTCCCCAGTACAAATACACAGAAACACTTGTTATAAGATTGCGTCGAACTTCAATCAACTTGAAAATATTTCTTTTATTGCGTTACACATCATAAATCTGTTTCGAAAAAACCCGACTCTGAAATTATAAACTGTCTTAAAGCTGTTGGTCTTTTAAAATACAATTTGAGGTACAATGGTCACTTTCAATATTCAAGTTGACATTTGTCTTTTAACTTCACGTTTGTTTGATGCCTTTATTTGGCATTTGTTTTTTTCCACCATTTTTTGGCCCTAATGACCCCTCCGATGTTGATGGGCCGTTAAGCATATTAATACTAATAATGTTCAGTCCCTGACCTGCAGGAATTTCTTCCACCTTATTACACGCACTGCATGATATAGCTTGGTATACTTACCGCTCTGATGTCGCCTTTGTATAAAATGCTGGTAACAGTTGAAATCGATACGATCCGATGTTGATGGTGATTGAGTTATTTTCTCTATAACCTGAATGGACTTCAACCTGAGGTGACGGATGGTTAACGGGTTGAACGATATCTCCCTATTACGTGAACATTTTGATTGGATTTTAGATAACGACGTTTTATCAAATAAACATAATTTATATATTGATAAAACACGAGTTTATAAATGTCAGTTTCGTTTAACTTGGGCCAGTTGTATACATTCTGATAACGCAATATTGACTAATAAATGATTTGCGTGTTGATTGTGTTATACATTCGTTATATCATGTATATACTACTATCATTGATATGCTTCGTATATATGTTTGATTGAAATCGAAACAAACCGCTAGAGTAATGTTAAAATGTTCACCAAAACCCTGTTATATTTGCTTAGGGCTCAACTTGCCCTTCATTACTTGTCAAATTCAGAATCAACCTGGAATATTTGAATCCCATTATCATGCTGTTGTGACAAAGAAATAAGGGTAGATAAGAAACGCAGTGCAGTATTTTCTTTCTGTATTCATATATCGTCAAAGGTTTTCTTAACCTATATAACCTCGTTCCTTAAAATACATCTATATTAAAATGTGGTCAAACGGAATTTGGTAACACTTCTCTAGTATTTTATTATCCCTTAATAACTGATTACAATTGGCCAGGCTTGCAAAAACACTTATCCGTTTGCTTTAAAAAAACTATCACTGATATTTAAAGAAAACATGGCCGACAACAAGAAGCAATTACATCTTTCAAAGTCACAGGCGTATAGAATCCTCACATTTTGTTGGTTGCTTCCTGGGATACAGCCAGTTTTAGAATGAAAATTACATTGACCTACTTTCCAGGTCACAGGGGTCAAATAGTTCTAAAACTTTAGACGGCCTCTTCCGAGTAATCTTAGAGCTTAGTTTTAAAATATTTGGCTGATAGCTTCCTGAGATGGCGCCTAACAAAGTTTGGGTATAAAAACAACCTGGATCTCCTAATAAGGTCACAGGTTTCATTTATATATCAAACACGTTAAACAACTTCTCACGAAGAACTTAAAGATATAGAACCTTTACAATGTTGCTAATAGCTTATTGGGGTGGATCCCGACAAAGTGTGCGAGTGAAAATTATCTTGACCTATTTTCAGGGTCACAGGGGTGAAATATTTTTAAAATATCAAATGACTTCTGAAGAAGAACTGAAAGGTATAGAATCTTCATATTTTGCTGGTGGCTTCTTGGAATAGAGCTCACAAAAGTTTGCAAATGAAATTGCCACTTTAAAGGTCTCAGAGGTCATCAACATTTTAAACGATCTGTTCTGAAGAATAAAAAAAAATGGATTCATAAGATTTGGCTGGGAGCTTCTCGGGATAGAGCCAACCAAAGTTTGAGAAGGAAAATGACCATGACCTTCTTACAAGGTCACTGGGAAAATTATGAAAGACATTTTCAAAAAACGTCCGAATATTGGTTTGGTTTGATTCAGTTTTGTTTAACGTCCTATCAACAACTATGATCATTTAAGGACGGCCTCCTCTGTGTACAAGATGCATATGTGTAATGTATGCGTATGTGTGTTGGGAGGCTGCGGTATGGTCGTGTTTGTCTCCTTGTGATAGCGGGTAACTGATGCCGACTTTATAGTGCTATCTCACTGAAACATACTGCGGAGGACACCCAGATGGACAACCCACCCGGTCACATTATACTGACAACGTGCGAACCAGTCGTCCCACTCCTTAATTGCTGAGCGTTAAGCAGGAGAAAGAAGAACCAAAAACATAGAATCACATAATAATATTTGGCTGGTAGTTTCAACGGATGGAGCCGACAGTGTTTGCGAGTGAAATATTTGTAGTACAGTATAATATTAAATAAGAATATTTTGCTATGACACCTTTAATATTCAGGTGAACAATACAGGCAATGTGGGCCTCTTGTTAAGGAATTTGGTATGTGCCGGCCTTGTAAAAGATCCCATAGCCTTCGCGAACCCGGGCGAACGTCCAACATTAAAGCCAGAAGTGAGGTACTGCCATGCAAGGCACAGAAACAAAAGATAGTTAGAAGTAGACAAACTATCCCAGAAATAACAATATTGAGTTTGGTCGCTTTTCAAAAAAGCAAATTAGTATTCTGCAGCGGGTCCCACATATTATTCTTTATCGATCCCCACCTGCAGGGAATTTAAGACAGATGTCTAAAATCCCTTTTCTTTCTGTACAAATAGAGGGATTTTAACCATATTTGGCTCAGAGGCTACTTTTGCAAGGGGTCCCAATTTCGTAAAAGGAGAGTGTGGCACCAAACTTTGTGTTGAACATGCTTTAGCAAAGGGGACTCCAGTAATTGTATTTGTTGTTTATTGCCCCTGTAGAGGGGCAGGGCTCAATTCAGATTATTCTTGAAAATCCTTCCTGATTACAAATGGAGGGATTTTAATCAAATTTTGTGTAAAGCATATTTCAGCAAAGGGGTCTCAATTTTGGATAATTGGAGAATGGGCCCCGTAGAGTCCAGAGGGGCGAGTCCCAATAGGGGAAACGTAGGGAAATTGAAATAAACGTTTGAAATTCCCCCCATTTGAGCCGGGCAGTAAGAAATTACGAAATGCGGGACAGGTGTTGCTGAGAGACAGGGTCAATATATTGAAATGGTTGCAGTATGATATTTAAAAAGAACATTTATATCCAAGTGAGCGATGCAGGCCCTCTTGGCCTCTTGATACATTCAGGTTTGTATAACTTATCTACCACACAATACTGTTTACAAGGGTGATTTAATGATATCCTTTCTGTTACATCAGCGATACGACCAGAGTGATACAGCAAAGAGATAAAACGACAGATTGTACGATATATCTATTATCATCCGGTTTGTAGATAACAGCGTACCATCATACTGATTTTATATTCAGTGTGTTCCATATAAGTAGGACCAACCGCAGTGTATAGCCAATACGATAACATTTACAGTAAAGCTTTTTATTATATTGCATTGACCTTTAGGCAATACGATAACATTTTATAGTAATATAGCAAATCTCAAATCTCGCTTCGAACCGGTTAATATCACAATACTTATAACCTACCTGTAAACTGTTGGTCTGTTAAAAAAATAGATATAACTTACCATAATGTCTGTTGTTTTTATGGTTGATATTTGTCTTTTTATCTTTTGGTTTGTTTGATGTCATTTCATTTTGCGTGTTTTATCTAAAATGTAATGGTACTAAAGGCGTTAATAAATCGATGCATGAATAGATAAAATGTTAATGATATGATTTATAAGGGAAAAGTTCCAAATTGAACAGTTATTGCAATTGTTGAACTGGAAATGCCGCAACGATTGTTCAGTTACCCAATCATACCAAAATATTAATAGTTAGCCATCAAGTGACCATGACTCAGGTTATAATAGTTTGTTTTACCTACCTTCATTTAAAACAAAATGTTTCAGAAATCTTTAACTACCGGGGACCATATACATAGACTATTTACCTAAACATGTCAGAAATGCACCCTCACTATTGTCTTTTAAAAAAAGTGCAAAGAAGTTGTTATGGACTTATCTTAAGTGTTTTGGATGTTTTATACAATTACATCATTTCAACATATTTTTTCTGATGATTCTCTGTTTTATATACATTTTGTAAATTATTGTATATTTTATAACTACTTGACCAAATGTAAGACGAGTCGTTGACTCAACTTCGTCATCAAGTATAAATAAAGGCTATTATTATAAGTATTATTATTACAAGCTAACTGGTAATAAGATTTATATATATATATATATATATTTCAAATGCCGCCGTTACTATTCTCCATAATTATGTTTATTGAAGATTTAAAAAGAACCTGTGGTTAGGTATACATGTAGCAAACACTAGTGAAAGCAAGTGGTTTAAAAAAAAAAAAAAAACAAACAAAACAACACTGGATAAAGTCTTGAGTGTAATCAGTCCATCAGAACTCAAATTATAAGTAGTGCATTTTATAAATTGATTTTCTATTCAAATAGTAACAGTGATAGAGACCTAACCCCCGGGCCTGGAAAGTTATCCCAAACAGGCACTTTCTTTGAAGAAGCACTGGATAAAGTCAGAGTGTAATCAGCTCAAAAGAAATCAAGATATTGTGCATTAGTGAATTAAACATATTTTCTATTCATAGTGACCCATTGACCTTTGACCACTGGACCTGAACAGTTATCCCAAGCAGGCACTTTCTTCCAGGAAGGAATAGATAAAATATGAGTGTAATCAGTCCAACATAATTCGAAATACAGTGAACCATGACCTTTAATATCAAAGGCTGAAAAGCTATCCAAAGGCTGAAGCAAACATTTTATTACACTGGATAAATTCTGAGTGATATGGCCCAAAAGAGCTCCAAATATTGTGCATGAAATGTTTTTCTATTTATAGTAACATTAACCTTGAACTTTGACATCGATGCCTCAAAAGCTACAATTTGTATCCTAAGCAAATACTTGCTAAAGTAACAATGACCTTAACCTTTGACCACCAAAGCACCAAAGCAGGCACTTTCTCCGAGGTAGCACTTGATAAAGCCTGAGTGTAATAATCCCAACATAAATCCAAATATTGTGCCTAAACTAATTTTCTATTCATGGTAACAGTGAGTTTGACCTTTGACCGTCGGGCCTGAACAGTTATCCAAAGCAAGCACTTTCTTCAAAAAAGCACTGGATAAAGTCTGAAATCAATTCTACCAACAGCACTGAAGATATTGTGCAGAAATTAAACAAGAAGCCCGATGGGCCTTATCGCTTACTTGCTTCTAATGCAACTTTGAAGTTGATCTAGGTCATTTATTTGGATGCTAAGCTCATTACTACTTTATTCAAATGTAGCGAAAAAAAAGTTCGGGAAAACATTTAATTATGAAATTTCGTATGTGCAAAGGGTCATCACTCCAGCAACAAATGAAATATTGACACAGGGTTTGGACTAACTGTAACTCATTATGATAAAACCACATACTAAGTGGCAGGTGGTAAC